AAGAAAGCATGATTTTTTAATTGTTAAACTAAACGCATGTGATTAAAGATGGCAACTATCTAAACTAGATTCATGCAAGATGTTACTGTACCCAGTAAAAGAGGCATTCCATTTGTGTGGTTTAATTAATTAAATAAATGTTAATGAGGTTGCCTCTTAGATTAAAATATCTACTGTAAACCAAGTCTGTTATAATTATTTCTCTTCTAGCAATAGGATTATCTTATACAATGAGGATGAGTAAATAACCTTTTCATTAAATATCTGTAGTTACAAAAAAACCAACTCTGACCATTAACTTACTTACAACAAGTATCAAGGATCTGCTGGATTTGGGAATTATTTTTTTGGGGAGTTGTTTTGGGGTTTCTTCTGTTACACAAAGCCTAATAAGGCAATTCTCAGGAAAATAAGAAGGTGTATGACCCAAACCAGATTGTATAATTTGGCAGTTGCATCTTTCCTTTCCTTAGTGGAAAAAGCAATACTCTTACCATATGAAGTCACTTTGAAGGCATCTCAAATAAAGGACTGAAGACAGTCAGGACACTAATTTATCCTGAAGAAAGAAAAGACTACTTTATAAAAGAATGTAGACTGTAAAAATCATCCAAGAGGCAGCAGTTAAACCTTTCTTGGAATAGTTACAGCCAAGGAGAGAATGGACACCAACCACCAACTAAATATTGCATAACAGGTGACAGTGGCAAGCACCACCAAACGGAAAATTGTTCTAATACATTCAAACACAGATTTTTTCCAAACCAAGGTTTTAAAGGAAGAAGAGAGTTGTGTAACACTCATTTTTTCAAACCATCCTTCATGAGATTCCCTATAAAGTAAGTGCAGTCAATTAGAAGACTATCAAGTGATGTAACATTTACAGTGTTACAGAGCATCAGGTTACAGGTAGGGTGGAGAGGACACAAGGAGAGATTATGCTTTAGGTTACTCCAAGTAATTGTGGAGTGCTACCAATTCATACTGAAAGTAATTTTTAAAAGCCGGTTTAGAGAAGACAAATAAGAGCTTAGCACAGAGTTCTCCAAGAACTCTCACCACTGATGATAAAAGGCACCTAGCAAGAAGAAAGCATGCACCATGTTGTTTGGCAGCTATCCACAACAACTGCACACCAGGCGATTTATCCAGTTGCTTTCTGAAGTTCTGCCGAACTCCTGTGAAGAAGCAGAAATCTGTACTACATGACTAATTTATATTTCTGGAGAAAGAAAAAAAGAAAACCCCCAAAATTTAAAACATTCTGCAAAAGATCTTCAAACTAAAAGGGCCATTTGCTGTGAAACACAGAAAACAGCCAAAACTAAACCACAAACTCATGTTTCATAAACAATTGCAGGAAATACTAAAATCCTTCTGTAACATACTTATCTTAAAACTAGAAGACTGACATTTTATAACCCATAATAATCCTGCTTAGATGTTCTCTGAAACGCCACTGCACTTCCTCAATAATACGTAATCGTAACTATGAAAAGCATTTTTTTTCAAAAGGTTCTGCTAAGCCTAAAACCAACACCCGGTTCAACAATGTATATTTACAGCCTTTCTATTATCTAGCGCTACTGGAGAAGGAATTTTTCTGGTGGGCAAAGGGCAAGTTTTGGGTAACATTCACGTAGACTTGCATGTATTAGTAGAGTACACCAACCCTACTCCTCCAGTTTGCCCAGAGAGTGACGGAAGGAGATTTTGACATACAGGAACATATAGCCTAAAATCAAACAGAATGAGGTGGCACGGGATGGGAAATTCCTCCGAGCTGACAGTGGCACTCCAGGCTACACAAACCAGCAGTTAACAGCTCCTTGCTGTTAAAGAAACGTGGATAAAGAAACACGAGAGCGCTCTGTCTGCGCTCAGCTTTTGCTCCCCACTGACCACCACTAAGCAGCGAGCTGGCCCTGTTTCAATCGCAAGTACTTCCACTGCAACGCCAGGTACTGATTTATAGAATGAGAGCCATAAACCTCAAATTCATTTAACTGGGGGGGAGCCAAAAGGAGAAGAAACAGAAATAAAATCTCTCTTACTTCAGTGCAATTCAACTACAGTAAAAATTTAAATTCCCTCATACAGCCTTTGTCACAACAACTACGCTGGCATTAACCGCGCCAAGAGCGCCTGCTGGCAGAGACCCAGCTTGTATCGACAGAAGATGCTTTTCTGCTGACACAGCAGTACTATCATTTCAAACAAACTTTGTTCTTTCCTTTCAGAAGCAGAATTTTCTTTCAATATGCTCCTTCCTTGACCTGCCTGCACTGCCACAGCTGGGCCGGCTCCACCAACTTATACAAAAAGATTCACGTAATTTGCAAGTGAGGAGTCGCATTCCTCAAGTCAAAAAACTTTTCTGGTTTAACTTTCTACAGTCTTTTTAAACTTTACATTCACTAAATGGGATAAATACTAATTACTGTGACTTTAATATCAACCAACATAGCTGATTCTGGGAATACAGATGAGGCTCAAACTTAAGGATATTTAAATGTAGGACAAGTCCTCAGATTCTTCTAAAAAGCTTAATGAAAAAGAATTCTCTCTCCACAAATCTGTCAGCTAAGGAAGCATTATACAGATTTCAGAAGAGGAAAACGGTTAGGTGACAAAAACATATGAGCACAACAGATAGTCCACTTTGATATTGGTTTCTTTCCCAAGCCTTCTACGCAACTCACATATCCTAGTTCAAAAGATTATCATAGACATCATAGCATCATTAAGGTTGGAAAAGACTTCTAAGATCATCAAGTCCAACCATCAACCCAACAGCATGATGCCTACTAAACCATGTCCCAAAGTGCCACATCTACACAGTTTTTGAACACCTCCAGGGATGGTGACTCCACCACCTCCCTGGGGAGCCTGTTCCAATGCCTGACCACTCTTTCAGTAAAGAAATTTTTCCTGATCTCAAATCTAAACCTCCCCTGATGCAACTTGAGGCCATTGCCTCTTGTCCTATTGCTGGTTACCTGGGAGCTGAGGCAACTTGAGTCCATTGCCTCTTGTCCTATTGTTAGTTACTTGCGAGACCAACACCTGCCTCCCTACAACCTCCTTTCAGGTAGTTGTAGAGAGCAATAAGGTCCCCCCTCAGCCTCCTCTTCTCCAGAGAAAACAGCCCCAGATCTCTCAGCCGCTCCTCCTAAGATTAAAAGGCGAACTTCACCTGCTATTACAAAGGCAATTTTTTCTTCCTTTCTAAAAAAATAAATATGAAAAACCAAGCACTAAAACACCAGGGAAAAACCCACTGTGTAGAAATGACTATATTTTTAAAATACAAATGAACATTCAGTATCTACGTACTGTCTTTCTAATCACTTACTGCAAGAAGATGTACAGCAGTAACATACTGAATGCATTTTCAGGCTGACGTGCGGAATCAAACTTCACAACTCAGAGAATTATAAAGCAGGTATGTTTATTGCGGCGCTGGGTGCAAGTTCCCCACATCAAGGTTTTGCTGCATTAACTTCAGCTAATTACTTGAGAAAGGGATGGAGGTTGTTCATGCTCTGGGAACCTGTCCTGAGAACCACTATTACCAGCTGAGCAGAAGAGGCTGTTAAATAGACTTTTAGAGCTGAGCTCTAGCAGGGCTTCTCTACATGGGTGCAACAGCACATACAGCCTGCATGGCTGAAGTGCCGGTGCTGACAGCCCTTCATGGAGCACTGGGAAACGCAGTGGAATGACAGGGAACTGAGAAAACGTCATCTGCACAGGTGCTCCTGCAATGACCTTTCCCAGGTAGCTCACACTACCAGCATTTCTAAATTTTCCCCCTACAGACCCAGAATTCGGCTATTCTTAAACTAAATAGAAATCAGTCCACACTCCACTTAAACCTAACAGGTTTCTAGCTGACAAGTCAGATGGCAAATATTACAACCATGTTTCAAATAATGATTGCAAAGAGAGAAGAAAAAAAAATTAAAATCAGGAAGAGTTTGGGGCTTGAATTTTGAGGTATGTTACACATTTTTAAATAGTACTTAGTGGGAAAAAATACAGCACAAACAGGAAGCTCAGTTACAACTAAATTTTTTTTACTATACCTTTTTTTCCCCCTTAGACATAATATACCATGCTTCAGGGAAGCATATTATTTATATTTGTTACATTTGAAGAAAAGAATGTACTTTAAGAACCCTAACTAAGAATCACTGGTCAACCACAATAAGATGTAATATTAAGCTGGTACATATCCCTTTCAGCAACAATGACAAGAGAGTGGAGTGTTTGAAATGGTATTTATACCAACAAAAATGATTTCTTTTAAACTTTGAAGTTCAAGATTATTGTCTGTTCTGGAAACAAAGAAAACAATTCTGCACAAGTCTGAATTTTGGAAACTGAAAAGCCCACACCCAGAAATATGGTAACATGAAGAGTGATGAGCTAGTAACTTTGAGAAAAATGTGTTATTTCAAAGGCAGTGACTGGATGCTGATAAGCACAGAATTTTTGCTGCAGTGATTTAAAAAGACAGATCTCAACTATCGCTTCAGCTCTCTTGGGGAGGTTAACATATCTACAGAGGAACTTGCAGAAGGGAATGGAAGTCTACATTTCCGCTGGTCAATACAGTAATTGAGCATTTTAACACAAACTTATCTTTGCTGCAGACATTGTTATATTTGCATGGACTGCTGCTGACGCAGCTCAGGTACAGGAATGCTCACTATTCCACCGACGTAGCTGTGAGTGCCCCAGCTTCTTAAATTATCGAAGTATGAGTCAGCTGAAGTTACTACTCAGTAATGGCACAGAAATGTCAGTGCTGACATATCAAAAGTCAAAGAAATAACATTTTTGCTGAATCATTTTTAAGACAGCTGGTAATTACTCACTGAAGTTTAATCCATGAGATTATGTAATCTCCATTTCTAATATTAAAGACTAAGAAACATGTTATTTCTTTCTCCTATTTTTAATTCGTAAGCACACAAATTGAAGAACCACCTTACCTGACAGAGTTTTGTTTCCTGTTTTCTATTTTCATTAAAATTTGTACATCTGACTGAGGAGAAGAGGTGTACATTTTTAATCTAAAAAAAAAGGAATATGCAACAGATATGAAGAAACCATGATGTATAATGACTTTTCTTCCTATCATCCATAAGAGATGGGTACCTTTGTCAGCAGCTGAAAGTAGATGTATTTCCTCATAAAGATAATAATTTGCCACATAACAAGTATTTCCTATAAACGAGGGCTACAATTACTAGTATGTTTTTCTAATTACTCCAAAGAAAAGGTTCGCTGTCAATCCCACTGAGACTAATTATGGTTACATTTTTTAGAATTACTGTTGCTGTATTTGATCTTTATGCCATGAGCCAATTTCTTAATCTTCTCGTGGTTTAAATTTGGTGGCTATACTCCAGGCTTAGTTGGCTGGCTGAGTGTTAGGATGGTTCTCATCACAAGAATTAAAGATGTACTGCTGACTAGGAACTCAGCTCTGCATGCTGAAAGTGCAGCTAGTTTAAGCCATTTATTCAGAATTGTTCCCTTGTTTTATTATTATATTAGATGAACTAAGCAGAAAAGTTATTCAACACGCACCTTTGACAAACTACCGGATCTGACTCCACTGGATCAATGTAAGGCTTAAGGATATCAGCGAGCGTTTTATTGTCAGGCACCCTTTCACCAAAGATAAAAATCAAATACGTAAGACATGGTTCATCACGTACACAAAAATCTATTATGTGAGTTCTTTGGAGGAAGCTGTATATTTGCATGCTATGGTGGCACAACTGAGTAGTTTATAGGAGGATCATAAATGTGTATCAATACAGCATAGATAATTGACAGCTGTATCTCAGTTTCAACACTGGGATTTCCTGGCATCTACAAGGAGTAAACAGATGCACATTTCTAGTTCCTAACCCCGCAGCAGAAACATGCTGTTCCTACAGCCTTAGAAGTCAACAAGCGCATACTTCTCATCCTCCTTCAGGCTAGGAAAAAACGAGAAAGATTTGTCAACAAAAGCTTATTTTTTGGCCTTTGCAAAATGTGCTTGTGGGATTTCCTACACAGCAAACAATTCAACCATTGCATCCTATATGAAGGTCAGCTCCAGTGTGCAGGCGAGGAGGGATGGTAAATCTTGCTGAACATCTGCTCCATGAGAACAGAATATGTTAGGTGGATGGGATACCACCATCACAAATATACAAGCTGCTTTGTTTACATAGAGAAGAGGACTAGCAATCAAACATTTTGCCTGATGTGAAAAGCCCACTAGCTCTCAAAGGGAAAGGACTACCCAACTTTAAGTACTGTTTTCAATTTAAATGTCCTTTTGATTAAGACTCAAAATAATATTCGCCTTTACCTTGTATAATACAAATAGATAAGAACTGATCAAAATATTTTGCAGTTCAATTTCAGCAGACTAATTTAAACTTTATAAAAAAACCTGTTTTTCAAGTTTTGTACCCTTTTAAAGTGTATTCAGCATGACAATGAGGAAATACGAGCTTCAAATGCCAGTAGAACTTTTTCTCCCTGAAAAGAAAAAGAAATGCATATTCTTAGTGTTAGCTGGTAACTATTACTTGTTTTTTCTATGATAAAGCTTGGTAGCCTACCACATGGATGCAGAAGAAAATACATAGTCAAGATTTTGAATGGTGTTTTCAAAGGGTAGGAGTGCTGAGAAGCTGAGTGGCACTTTGAAAGATGCGCTGCACTCAGATCCCGCTGAATTCCAAGACCTCATGGGATGAAAATCTGTTCCTTACAATGAAGATATCACCAATTAACTGATTAACAGCACTTCACATTTTAAAAGGGAGTATCTTCCAGCTGACTTTCTATATGTATGGTTGCCCTTCAGTTTCAGAAGGGGAAACTGCTTTGTGGTGTATCCACTCAGGACAGATTGTCAAACCTGTGCAACAATAATAGCCAGAGGTCCCAGTTGAGGCCAGGTTCTACACTAAAGAGGGTACTCGACTTTTCACAGCAGTGATGGCCCCAATAGAAACTGTGTCATTGTCAGGGAGGGAACCTGCATTTTGGCATAATGTGGGTAATGAGATTAGAAAGAATAAATGTTTTACAGAAAGATCAGAAAGCTTTTGTTAAAGACCAAAATTGATGTCATGTTCCTTTCTCCAGTTTGTTAGTTTTAAGATCCATCTTCCCTTTCCAGGAAGCATAATTAATAACCGAGAATAGAAGCTACTGAAGCATGGTTCCAGTGCAATATCATTTTAAGAAAGGCATTATTACCTAGGATACTTCACTAGATTATGAAATCTCTTTTTGCCTTTTTACTCCTCTGCAGAAATGCTGCTGAAGTTATTACTGACTTAAGACAAAGCATTTTTCCTCTCATTACTCCAAATTCTCCCATTTGGTATGGTGAGCGTAACAATATTGTTCTGAAAGAAATCTCCTAGGAAAAAGCATAGCCCAAAATGTAGGTGTGTGGCACTTTGCTCTGGTTCACAATTTTACATTCCTGACAAACAGCAGAGATTTGGATAAGGAAGCAGGGAACTACCACCATTTAGAAATCAGAGGCCAGACATCTATGTCAAGCCTAGAACATCTAATGGTACTCGATCCATGTTTTTAATTTTTTTTTGTTTTAAACACTACCTAAGACCTCTGAATCATTATATCCAGGATAATCACCACCAGTTACGCAAAGATTCTGGTACTACAATTAAAAGTAAACACAGTGCGTTCCAACATGTTGTTTAATTTGTTTATCAGGCAGATGAAACATTATCCAGCAGGTTCTAGCTGGCTGCAGTGTACATGCAGTAGCAAAACAGGAAACTTAGCTGCTAAGCTCAATTAACAATAACAGCAATTTTTAAATGCAAGCACTTTTATAAAATTGCTCTTATCAAATAATTAATCATTCCCTTACCTAGCTATTCCTAGGAGAAAACTGAGCTTTACAGCTGAATTACACTTCCTGTAGTGTAAGTAAAATCAGAAGTGTTAGCGTTTATCCATAAAAGAGCAAGCAAGAACCCTAGCTCCACGGAGCTGATAATTAGAATAAAAAGAACTAATAAAGGCCAAGGTCCCCAAAGCAACATGTGACTCAGCAGAGTTGTGCAGCGTGCCTTGTGACTCTTGCTCTCTATCTGCTCATGTTTGTTAAAAGCTGAGAATGAGTGCGCCTTCCTTAAATGAGAAGGTGAAGTTAGAGGACATGAGGTCTGAAAGAGGTAAGAAGATGATATGACCAGAGCTATAGGATAACACAGAAAACGTTATTAATTACATAGCGTAGCATATATAACCAGAAGCTGACATAGGATCTTGCATCATGAATTTTATGCTGTTTTGCATACTGGTATGATACTGTCTTAAATTGTCAAACTGAAAAAGGTTTTGAAATAACTCAGAATCAGTGAGTGGAATTTTGGAAGTCTTTTGCAAGGTAAGTGAAACAAGGTTTAGTAATTCTTCACATTGACAGCTGAAGGAAGCATCAATGCTACCATATGCATAGAGCAAACTGGAGTATCAATCAGGTTATGGAACCAGTTCAATCGACTTGTGATAAACAAGCTTGTGATTCTTCTCTCAGACATATGTTAATATCTGGCATTTAACATGGCTTGGTATTAATTCAAAGCACTTGCACAGGTAGACTTTAGTAAAAGTTGGTAATTTTCAGACATAGAAATAGGGTCACCAGCATTTGCTGCACGAAACACTAATGATGGGCACATTTATTAAAATACTTGTAAGGGCTATTCAAATGAGATTTTTGTTATGTGTTATCAACTAAAATGAGGCTTTCTAGCATTTTTTCATTTAACTTGTCATCTTTCACAATTTTTTCCAAACATGCCATGTTTATCTACTCTAACTGACCAACTCTTATCATGACATGGAATTTCTTTCTGTCAAATTTTTAAATCAAGACAGCCGAAGCAATGGGAGTACTGCAGATCTTCCTCTCCCAAGTGGGAATAGACAAATCGTGACACAGCTTATAGAAACATGTACGTGGCCGAGAGGGCTAACACAGGCACATGAAAAAGAACGTTCCAGAAGTACTTCTAGCTATCTGCTACCTGTTGTTGGGAATACACTCTCTGTGTCTGTAGAGACAGTCGTCACACAGCACAGCACATTCCGATTTCACATGCAAGACCAGTTCCCTGTGGGCTTACTGAGGCAGACTCAGCTCATCACCGCATCTGTATAATCAGCTAAGAGGGATCTTTTCAGACTTTTGCCCGTCCTCCCCCTTCCAGGCACAATCTAGTCTATGGAACAGTGCACAGAAAGAGCTATGAATCAGGGATTCTGAACACTGGAGTTAAAAAGATCGTTCCTTGCCAAAAAGCTTCACTTTGGAAAAACAGAAATGTTGATTTTTTTTTTCCAGCATGCTAATACCAAGACTGCAGTTAATTACTTCATCTCTCTCCCCAGTTACTCTCGCCTGAAAGTAAATGGCAAGCAGAAAAAGGTAAGACAGATTAAGAACAGGGTAGAAGGAGGCAAGGAAAAAAGAAGCTTAGAAATGGAATAACCTCATACTCTCCACTGTGCAATGAAGTCGTGAAAAACAACCTCCCGGATGCCTGTTATTCAAGTGAAGCATCCCTCACCATCACTGCTCTGTGCCCAGTGAGAGAACTTGGTGTCAACTGTAGATGCTATCAAAGCTGCTTCACAACATGTTCTGATTAAAATTAGATATCCTGGCTCCAGATCTCACTGACTTCATTTTCCATTATGGCTCACAGGGGTAGTGCTTCCTTCAAATACAATTGACATCTACTATGTTCATTTTCTAAATAAAAATGCTGAATTGAGTAAGTCATCTGCAGTTGAGTAACAGCTCACTGCATGAAGCATTCCATGCTACTTGGCTGCCATGGAACGCCACTCCACAGTTTTCTTGAATACCAAGGCACTGACTATAAAACTACCAAACGGCAGAGATCTGGATGAGGTACAAACACATCCTTGATGCCAGTAAGAGCAGCATCATAGCCCATCCCTGCATTGCTTGGCTTCACATCCTATTTTGGCTACTTCAGAAGCATGGAAACTGATCAGAGGAAAAAATAGGAGCCAAGCACCTCTTCCCCTGCGTGAGAAGTAGCTGCAAATTGCGTTCAGAAGTGCACAGGCAGTTTTGCAATTGTTGTTCTTCCACAGCAAAGTCACTGTCTCCCTTTCATTTCTCCTAAAGCTTCAAAAAAATGATTTTCTGTAATCATCTGTAGTTTTCACAGAACTACACGTAACTGATTTTTCAGTTTTTCACAGCACCAACTGAAAGATTTTTATTCCTGAAGTTATAAAGACAGCAGCAGTATATACAACGGGGCTGTCACATTCAGCCGGCTCTCAGGACAACTGCAAAAATTCTCACCATCTTTTGTAGTTGATGCAGTACCTAGGAACACGCTCCACGTACTGCAGGTGTAGGCAGTACAGCTGCTGGGAATTAAAGGACAGATCTACAAAGGATTCTGGGACTTAGACATGCTAGTTAAGTGCCTTGGCAGACTTTTAGAAGGGTCCAATGTTTACCTACTTCTTAAAAGATTTATGAAGTATCTTGTAAAGCCCAACCTTCTTACCTAGGTTTCCTCTGAACAGTCAGTTTTGCCTAGATTGCAACAGAAGGTTTTATGTATATAAAATGTTTTAAAATGTATGTGTATTACATGTAAAATAAAATACATATTGACAGAAAAATCTGAATTAATCACATAGTAAGATACCAGTTGCAGATCTGGCTCTGCAGAAGCACTTCACTGACAGCCTGTCAAAGATAGAGATTCACTGATGATTTTGTTTCTGTTTAGCAACTAATATTCTTAAAATGTTTTAAAAATAGTATACAAGACATCTTACATCAAAGCGCAAGTATTTCCTATGTTATTTTGAATTGATAAAAAGAGATGAAAATGACGTAAACAAGCTTAATGAAGGACCAGTTATCCTTTAATTTGACATTACCCAATACTGTCACCTAATGCACTGAAATTTAACTAAAATACTGGGCGTTCAGTATCTACACCTCTGGATAATAACGTCTTTCTCAGCTTTCTTAAGCAATGAAGATTCAGCCCAAGCAAGTGACTAGATCCTCTTGTGGATAAAAAATAAAAAAAATAAAGTAAGAGGACATGCAGAAGTGATGATTTCATCTCCCTCGCCCCCTCTATCTCTGTGTTGCTAGTGCCAAACTGACTTTGTTGCACTTCTAACAACAGCACACAAAAGATGTCTCCGTTTTGTTGAAAATTCATCCAGCCAATTCCTGGATGTGATGTATAAACAGTAAAACTGAAATATTTCTACTGAAAGTTCAAATGTTTCCTAGTTACAGTAAACAGCAAGGCAATCAATGAAGAAACTGAAGTGCACTTCCTTTGTAACACATATGGTCCTCTATCGAGGGACCTCCCAACGGCAGGAGATGTTACTAACCATATGTGTTGCAATAACCAAACATGCCGGGCTTGAACTGGGAGTCCTGTGTAAATCAAAGGGACACTGTCAAGGCCAAGTAACCTAAACTGTAATCAGATTCACTATGAGAATAAAACATTTCAGTTGCTAAAAAAGAGAAAAAAATTCATCTCAGGTACAGATCTCTGTCAGTACACACCTTCACATAGCGGTGTTCTGAAAAGCTACTGATTTACTGAAATGCATAAACATCCTGCGCTCTGATGACTCCAGAGCAGCATTCCTTTGCCTGGGAACTTACTTTGGTGGGTCCTAGAAAGCAAGTAGAACTATGTACTAAGTAACAACTAAATTCAAGTTTAGCTCCAACAGTGTAATATTGGCCCGCAACCTAGCTCAGATAACTCCTTGGTAAATTCTCAAGATCTGCAACACTTCAAACAATTAATTGTTCCTACCTAGCTAAGCATTAGAGCTGACATTTTAGGGCTTTCAGGTGTACCTCAAAGTAGCTTCTGATCCAATGATCTCTTAACGGATGCTAATCCCAAATCTCCACACTATATTTTGTTCTCAGACTTAAATCAAAAGAAGAGAGAGAATGAAAAAGATTCCTTCTTCTCCCATACATATCATCTGATCAAATGATCCCAAGGTGCAGGCATGCGTTCCACCAGCAAGGAGACTTGTAGCCCTCCGGCCCCTCTTGGTGAGGAGGGGAGGTAAGCAGGATTTTGTCTGGGAGATGCTGTGAACGGAGCGAGGAGGATGCTGGGTGGAGATGCCAGTGTAAGCAGCAGGGAGGGTTGGAGCAGGGCAGCATAGACTGCAGAGCTGAGGGAACTGCACTGCCCATTTCAGCTTCTCACGGCTGTCACCATCTCCCACCAGGGAAGCAGGAGCCACAGAGTTGCAAGCTCCCTCTGCTCTTCCCATTTCGCTGCAGGCTGGAGCTCCCAAGTTGCTGCCCCAGCCCTCGTCCCAACCTGGTCACAATGTCTGTCCCTTTCCCAAAGGCTCCCTGTTCCAGCAGGCCACCCCAACTCCACGGCAGCCTGCATCCAGAAGGGGAACTATCACTACTATTGAAAAAAAAAGGGCACCACAGGAAAGGTGAAGGGTGAAGAAACACATTAACAAAAACTTGCGAATAATGCGTCCTAAATCATCTCTAAGACAGATGTCCCATGAGTTCTCAAACCGGACTCAGACTCTACTTTCTAACAACCCTCCATTATCTAGATATTCAATATTAAAAGTCAGTCTAATCCACGTGTTGCCCAGCACTGGCACGTGTGCTTTCACAACACCGAATCTAGCAAGCAAACTGATGGAAACCAGGAAACGAAGAGTCTGGTTAACACATCCCAACTACCACTGATCTGTCCTCCAGAGCTGGCAGGAGCAGGGGATGACACAAGAATACATCTTGTACTTCCTAGTTTTGGATTACTCTCATTCCACAGCCTAACAGCCTGGCTCGCATGGAGAGCGTGAACAGGACAGAGACGACTGTTCTCAGTTTTCCACGCACATATGCTGAGCAGCTTCCAACCTCCACCCTCTGGAGCAACCCTTCTACAAATCTTGACTGAGAAGGGGTTCAGAACAACAGAAGAGCACACACACCAGACCCTGACCACTGCCAGATTTTAAACTCATATTACCCAACTATGTGCACAGCTTTACTGCATTTTAATGTAATACTCAACAAAATGTTACGGGTGTCGTGAAGTCACATCGGATAGGTGTTAAATGGCTGACATTCGATGGTTTAATCACACCTGAGATTTGATTCCTCAGGAACCCATTTAAGGAGGGTAAGAAAACATGAGAATTAAAAAAACCCAAAAAACCCCCACAAAACCACCACCCAAACCCCAAGGTTAATTTTTGATCTGCATCACTGAATTCAAACAGCCCATTGCTGTGTGAATACAGCAGCAGCAAAACAGAGGAAACGTGTCATCTGTGTAGTACTCACCGAGCATATTTCATACCCTTGGACGGCTTTTACAGGAAAGGGATGGTTACTTCCTTTTCTCTTAAGAAAACTCTATCATGTTCTTTCTGATGGGATGTGAAAGTCCCAGAAAGGCTAGCATTCCAAAACAACAAAAAACCACCCCAGGACCTTAAGACTGATAAAAAACAGCAAGGCATTCTTCCAGACAGCCTGTGAAATATTTCCATAATTTCTTGCCAGATAGTCACCTTTCTTGCCCTATCCTCTTCAGTTTTTAAATCTGCTTCTGTTAAACAACATAAAGCATGTGATACACATGAAAGTGTAACCTGCTCAAAGCTTAGTTTGTTCCCAACGCAAGCTACACTGCAGTATGTGCCCAAAGAGGCTTTACAAAGAACTGAAAAACATGGTACATCACGGCAAATTTCTGTCAGCACAGAACTGTACCACGCCCAGGATCTTCCCAACAGTGTCAAACCTCCCTGTGTTTGTGCTTTTTCTGTTCTTCTGTCCTTCTCTTAGCTACTGATCCCAGCATCCCTGGGCCTTCTGCACTTACTCTGGCTCTTAAAGACTACTCCTTACCCTGTACCTCTTACGGGTGTTTATGTTGTTTTATCCACAACATTAAGGAAACTCCCCGGGAAAGTTAAACTCAGCACTAAGCCTGAGATACTTCAATGGCGTAAGACTAGCACAAGATACCTGTAAAAGGTGGAGCATGCATCCAAGGAAAAGAAAGTCAGAGCGGAGGCAGACAGCCTCTGCCCACAGGACAACATCCGCAGGGTTTGGGGCCACCACCTGGTCTGTTCTGAGGGGACAGCTGCAGGGATGTACAAATCTGGGGCAGACAGAGGAGAAAGTGTCCCAGATTTCCCTTCTTTCCATTGGTCCACCCTGGGTTTTCTGTAGCAGAACCAGTAAAATATGTAACTTTAAAAGGTTACACTTCTACATCTATTTCACTCTTCTGTTCTGCTAAAACCTAAGACATGTGCAAAGCCAAAGCAGCGTTCTTTCGCCCCAGAAGAAAAGAGATGATGCAGGCATTTGGCCGGACAGCGTTTCTGTCCAGTTGTCGCTCTGTCCAACAGAGACGCCTGGCGGCCGCGCAGCCCTCAACGCAGCCCCAGCATCGCCGAGAGGAGCGGCAAAAATGTGTTCCGGCAGCGGAACTCGCCGCCAAAATGGAGACCATGAGGGAAACAAGTGGAGGAGCCATCGGGGTAGGTGGCACAGCTGACTACTGTGAGAAGCTCAGAAGGCATTTATATTTGCTCCCAGTACATCATGAAGCTGAACTCTAGACCTGTTTGCCGCCACAACGAAATCCTTCGTAATTTTTTTTATTTTTTATTTTTACTGTGAAAATACTTTAAAATACAAACTCTGGATATCAGAAAAAAGCCACAGAGCTGACAAAGATAAGAACATTTAAAGTCTTCTCAGCCTTCTTCCTGAATTCATATCTGTCTGTCTGCACTTGCCTCCCTAAGCTGTGCCGTTACCAAACGTCCACATCCTCCAGCACAGCCACTCCTAACACTGCATTGCAACAGAGGTAACTGTATCGGAAGACCTCCTTCAGACTTAAAGTCAGCCTTTTCAGAGCGGGGTTTCTGCAATCATTCTACATCAACCCTATATCATAAACCTTTAAAGAAGTGTGGTCTTTTTCCAGCAACAAAGCTCAATGTTAATTAGAAGATGGAAAAACACAACAGCACTGATTCTTCCTCCTGTTACTCAATGTTTGTGTTTTTCAAAATAAAGCTTGATTTGCCTAAACTGTTAGACTGAGCTGAAAGAGCCTAAAAATGAAAAGCTGCTGCACAAAATATTAAATCTAGATAGCTTTTGTAAAAAAATTGTGCATTAACAGATTTTAAAAGCAAGCGTATGAATATGAATTCAGATTCTTGTCATTATGCATTCAGTGAAAACAAAATATTGCTGACTGTAACCAACTGAAGACTCACATGCAATTGAAGGTGGTTGAATTTTCTCTTCTTTTTGTAAATCCAACAGGCAGCGTTCTCAGGTCAATACCACACTTCCGAGCTTTGTTTCTCAAGCAATATAACTAGCAAAAAATAACATCAATTTAAAAGAAAAATCTGAGTAATATACTGAAAACCTGAAAGTTTAACAATAAATGAGTAATGCTGACAGGAATTATGGCAAAATTGTAGAAAAGGCCACATTTAATGAAGTACTTTGACTTTTTAAAAAAGCATCATGAATGAAAAAGTTAATAAAGTAAGCCCAGAAGCTAATCTGAAACATTTTCAGGTGGCATTTTTCCACGGTTAAAAACCAACATGCCAATGACCTCTTTATAGCAAAGTTCTTGAACATGCCGTGAAAGCCAGGGACAGCCACTGTGGGTCTAATACCACCCATGGAGCCGTTTTTTGGGCTACAACCCCACTAGCAGAAGTGATGCACAAGCACCATTTCAGCCACTCTGACAAATTCCGATTTGAAGGTAGCACTACGGATATCATCCCAGAAACACGTCTAGTACTACACCCTAAAAACTGCTACCTACGTAGCACCTGACCATCTTCAGTGCCTGTTTTCAAGACATCATGCTGATGAGCACACACACACAGAGTATGACTTCAGCCCAAGCTGCAGCCTTGTGAATTTACTTTGTCATCAACGCCGAGTTCTCTCCAACTGAGTTTACCACTGTATTTAAAGATATCTTCACAAGACTGGAAAACAACATGGCCCTGATGCTTTTCTGTGACATATCAACCAGTCAAAGTATTTTGGAGTGGATTTTGCTTTTCTGGGTGTTTCCCCCCCTCCTTCTTGATCTTAGTCATCACAGTTTATCGTCATAGGACTTTCAGGAAATGCCATACATTTCTGTGATCTCATTAATGCTTTACTGGAATTGGAGGAGTTTCAACAAAAATCCCTTCTTGCCCTTAGAAGGCTGGCTTTTACTTCACTGTTGCTTAGATTTCTTTTTTGCAGAACTCTGCTTGCCCTCATTTGGTATACGGGGAAGCATATAATAATTTTTAGGCAATTAATAAATACATTGTCTACTTGGGAATTTTGTACTTAAAAATTCAAAAAACTTGTGGAGGCAGAAGGAAACATTCAGGCTTTCTTAACACACCTCTATCATCAAACAGCAAGAGCAATCATGCATCAATTTTAAGAGTGTACACTGTCAGCAATCTATTCTTCTAAGCAACTGGATGTAGCCATCAATACTACTAGTACATGAACCTAGCAACTTCTTTCGATTTCTGGCTCTAAAACTGCGGGTCATTCACACCTCCACAAGAGAGGTATCAGCTCTGAAATCTGGATCGGGACTGCCTCAGTGGGAGCTCAAAAATAGTCAACCCTATCTCCAACAGACCAAGACACTAACTTAAAACTTACGATTTTTTTTGTTGTTGGACTGTGCATAGTAGGATGTCGAGCAGCAGCATCTGCTGTCCTTCCTACATCTTCCAGGAAACGATAATCTGCAGGTGATAAAAGAACCACGAAAAGCGTAGTGCTAATAGAGTAAACCCAATGAATTCTAACAAGCACAAGGAGTACTCTTACCACTCAAAAGGTTCAAGTCAGTAAATTCATTTACAGAGACAAATGCTGTTTTATCCCTGACTCCATTACAGCTCAGTGCAAGCTTATGCTTCTTTACACACAACAGACTGAAATGACAAAAAAACCCAAAACCATTAACATGCCACCTTCAGCACATGAGTGAGGAAAAAAACCAAAACAGTTTGATTCAGATAATAGATACCTGCACGAATATTTCATGCATCGTGGACATCTGTACTTAGCTTCCTCTTCGCTACATGTTTCGCATCTGAAAGAAGCAAAAGGTACCTCTCAATAAAGCGGCATCTTTGAGCCTGACTGGTCTGGGAAGGTGCCTGCTCAACCAGGCACTATGTCACCAATGAGCATTTTCAGGAAAATTTATCTGAACCTTGAAAGAAGAAGAGAAAATACAAATACCCTGGATTAGATAACGTAGAAGACAATGCAAACTATGAGGAATATCTCCAACACAAACAGGGTCTTACCTATATTAAAAGACAGTGCAGATGCTTGAAAGCAAGAGAACAACCCCATGCAGAGCTGGAAGCACAGGGCGGCTGTATCACTGTACGCTTTGTGGCCTGGTTGTATCAGTGCTTTTCTCCATTTACATCACCTGTAACGCGCATCTTACTATGCTGGCTTATAATGCTCCCAGTTTTAGGCAGATGGAAAATAAACGTCCAGGATTCATACTAAAACCTGATTATTTTCAATGAAACAGGAAAACCATGACTATATGGTCAGCAAAACTTCTCCTGGCTGTTTGCAGTGCAAGCCCCAAAGCCAGGGAACCTCTCAGGACCAATGTGTAAGGTTCATGGCTGTACCTAACAAATACTATCTCATTAAAAAAAATTTCCTTTATAAATACATCTTCTGCTTTTTAGCCAGGCCACTACAACAGACGTTTCTCCTGCTCTTAGGGAAAAGTTCTTGATGTATTGACTGAAACAATAGTCGCTTTTCATTTATTTTAACTCTGACAAAAGGGGAAGGGAAACAGCCCTTCCCCCACATCAGTACAGTTTTCAAGCATAGCACAAACCCTCCCCTTTCAACTACCAGGGGAAAGACACGAGCCTCGACACGTCCCTCCGTCCGCGCCAGGCGCTCGCTGCGAGCTGACCGCGGAGGCCAAGGACGAGCTCCGCAGCAGCAGGAGCAGCAGCAGCAGGAGCAGCAGGAGCAGGAGCAGGAGCAGGAGCAGTCCCGGTGATGCTGGACTGCCAGCAAAACGGAGCATTCCACTGCTGTCAAAGTGAAGCTAGAAAACATCCTAATTACGCCGCTGCCCTTCCGATGAGGGGGATTGGAAACAGAGGCACTGCCGACGGCGGGAGGCCGCCC